TCATAAAATGACCTTAGCTGGTAACAGGACGTTAAACAAAATAAAATCAATCTAAAAATCTTCATTCGAGTAACTTGATTGGTCAATCATCAGAAGTTACTATCAACAATTATTATGACTATATACTATTATTATACCTTCTGTTAAAATATCGTAATCTGATTGGTTGAGAAAGATGTGAACATTTTCAATGTTACTTGCTCGTTTTACAAAGATAAAGAAGACAGGGTGACATTCCAAAAAATATCACATGCGCCAAACGTATGCGTGCACGGTTCGTTCCAGTGCCAGGGTGTTATTCCAAAACACTTTACATGCGCCAAACGTATGCGTGCATGGTTCGTCCCAGTGCCAGGGTGTTATCAAATCACATTCATGTTTGGTTCATTCGACAACTTTTGAGATGAGGTCTTGGTTTATGTCAACAAGGGGTGAACAAGTTTTTAGTAAGTTACAGAAGGTTGAATTTCACTTAGATCCTTTGTAACACGGGAGCTTCCGAACATACTTTTCTGTATTGTAAACTGCAAACATAAAACTCGACCTTTCATCTCTTATCAGACGTACACTTCATCAAAATTGTAAAGCATTTTTTGACTCTGAGAGACCACAGCATGTATGTCCTGATGCTACATACTTACTGCATAAACCAATAACATTGAAGTAGCGTTCAAAGTACTATGAACGCATATGGTGTCATTTGACATAGATCTTATTTGTATTAGTAAATATGACACTTGTCAGTCCGCTTCACATAGCAATGTGAATAGCTTTGAATTCCTATCGTCACGTGCATAGTAAATATCTCCGGGGAGCTTCATTCATTCTTTCAATCTTTGATGACATGGTAAATAAATTATTTTTGAATTGGATATATATCATTGGTTTAGTAATCTGTTGGAACTATAGACATTCGACAAATATATTGTGAAACTCGATTCATAGGAGAATATCATTTTTGTAAGGTGACCTAGTTCCCAGGCGCGGTGGCCACGAGAGGAGCATACGACTTGTTCGTGTTCCCAGTCATGGTCACGTCCTAAATATGTCAACGCTACCTTATAATGACGGTATTATTCCGCTAGTTTTTAAATATGAATGCCGTTAATTCTATACGGTAAGATGTCGTATTATCAAAATAAAACAACACTTGGGTCGGGTTACTATAAATCAGCGAATTAACGAAACAGATCTGTTTAGAGTTGATTAGATAACAACATCAGATTTTTTTTTTTAAATACTGAAAATGAGATTTATTAGCATAAAAACAAAAGAAGAAACATCATTAACACATCAAAACTCATAGAACTCGACGATTCGCCCAAGAACAGCTTTATAACGTACTGTCGTTAACATCGCCCTTAGCTTCATCGTTTGTAGGTTCGAATCACGGTGTGTATACACATATTATTGTTTTCTTTCTCTGTAAAGTGTTTTCTTGATCACGAAAAGAACATGTTGTTTTCTTAACCTCTTTTCGTTAACGAAAGTAATCATACAGTATGGTAAGCCTTGTGATTTAATCAGTGTAAATTTCTTGTGTAAAAAGGCCCCTTTCAGTACAAATAACAAGGTGATACGGTTCATAGTCTAAGGTGATACGGCACGGAGGATTTTAAACTGAAGCTGATACGGAGCCGTATCGGCTAAATGACCTGGGGAGAACCCTGTCAAAATCAGAAGATGAACAATATTAGAAATTTGAATTGGGGATATGCTGTCATGCCTTCTCCATTGGGAAACAAAAGCGACAAAAATATATCTATTACTAGATACTAAAAAGGCCGCCTCATGAATACACCGATGGGTCTTAATTAGCCATATTATTACTCATTATATACTGCAGGCTATTTTCATGCAATATTGCCGTTCAATAAAAACGATATAGCACACGTACAATAACAATGCAAATGAGTCTTGTCACCGTGAGAAACAGGTCATATTCCTACGCACTACAACTTCTACGTTTGTAGACAAAATGCCTGACCGAATTACTGTTTGCATTGACAGCAGAGGCAGGGGCACTGGGAGAATAAAATTAACAAACGAGTAAAAATACATTCAATTTTATATAAACAAGAGTATTAGCTTCACACAAATTCAACACCTGCATGTTCAAATTCCACTTGAACTTCTCCGACATACACACAATAAATGGCGAACACGTGTAACCGGTCAACTTCATCAGCGTTCCAGTTTAATGGCGGATTCCACAGTATAACATCGAGGTTCACATTCATCAACAACCCTCTCCAAAGAAATGCGTTTGTGTTATAGAGAGTGACAACCACTCCAGTCCCTGTAAACTTTTAAAAATTGCAGACTTCGATTTGTATGGTGATGACCTTTAACTTGACAGTGCATACGCCGTTGTACCAAACATGTGACGTCACTGCTATTTTCGTAAACGCCAATTCGTTGAATGGTTTTCGTATAACAAAATGATTAATAATGTTGTTATGATAATTATTTAAACATTAGTTGATGCAGAAAACCTAAATGATTGTTTGTTCATTAAAAAGGTTCTCGGGAAGAGGTTTCTGAAATTATGTTTTGTGGCGCAGCGGGCTCCAAACGAAAAGCATGTAATGCGTTCTTTCGTCAGCCATCGGTACAATTTATATAGAGGAGACGTGTCAAGAAAAAGAGTGTTTCTCGAATTATATAATAAATAGAATCTAACACTCGTGTTCACGTATGTTATGAAAAACAAGCGCTTTATAATGACAGTTACGGGAAAAAAATATGTTGGTTTCAGTTACAGCCGCAAAAATATCATAGTGGTTTTATACAGTATAAACTAATAATCAATGTAGTTTGTAAACCTTTTTATTACAGATCATCTTTGTTTGCAAACCTGTAAAAAGCAGTTATGTGTTAATCGTATGAAACATTTTCACACATTAAGTCTATTATGACTTAGTTATGCAAACAAACCGTCATAACACGAAAATGAATCAGATGTAGGAATTGTGATATGATGTATACCGTCTGATTAATCTCGAAGGACAACAGTTAACCACGTGCATTTACATCACTCTGAATCTCCACCCATGAAAAAGTGTCTTGTCATGATGAGATTCGTCACGTGTTCCTATATCAGATTCCACTAATCACCACGTGACTCTAAAACACGTTATTTTTGGAAATGTTATATACATATTTGGAGGACAGCTGTCAAAACATGCTGACTGATCACACCTGGCATTCATTTTATTTTGAATCGCATTCGTGTTTATGTCACCTTGTTTGTTGTAATTTATCATACTACATGAATATAAAAATAAAAACTATATAGCACAAAACACCATTCATATAAGATCTTTTTTGTCAAAAACGGTTAGCGTTTCTCCAATTCACCTGTTAATGATAATTTTGAGTGGTTATAATATATTCATGCTACCCATATTTGGGGATAGGTGGTTTCAGAGATGACTTTTTAGACAACATCGGAAATTGTGAATCATGACAATTATCATCACCCGTTTATTAATAGATTGTACACACTTATTTCACGTGTATGCATGATACAGTTTATAAAGGTGTAGACACTACTGCTTACAAACCGGACATCCTAGTTGAGGTAATACACTCACAGTGATGATGTTCAATGATACGTATTGTCGTTACAGATATGGGCGTACACATACGAGTAATCACTGGCAACAATGAGGTACACTGTAGTTGCCGTTAACATCAACTAAAAGTCATCACAGTCATGTTCATTTTCATGTTATGTCATTTAGTTACTTAATGTGAGTATTTTATGGAAGCAAGCTAACTATATTTAAACGTTGAACTTGTTGAACACAATACATCTCCAGCACACACACAGGCATACACACATAGGGAGATATTAGCCAGGTGTCATAGGACCAGTAGTTAGCGCCTGATAAGGCAGCTCCTGCGAATTCCTCAATATTGTATTGATTAATATATATGCTAATTGTATTGACTGGAAAGGAAGCACGCATATATAACAACATATCCTGTCTCCTGCACACACACACACACACATACACACACACACACACACACACACACACACCCACACAAAAGCACGCATAGACTACACACATGGAGGCACGTCCTTAAATGACCTTAGCTGTTAATAGGACATGAAACAAAACTAAACCTTATAACATATTTCAGTAAATGTTATGCTTAACGGAAAAGTATAAAATCTGGATTCAAACCACCGTATGTGTCAATGCTAACGTTTGTGCATATGTTACTATGATAAATTTAATATATATATGCTTTTTCTGCTCATTCGAACAAATATAACAATTGTCATCTGGATTCAACTTTGATAATTATTTTAATATATTGTGATATAGTTCAAAACAATTGAAATATGATACGATATTAATTTGGCATAGATCAAGTAACTGGAAAGTAAATAATAATACATTAATTATGTTAAAATTGATTATATAATCTATGAAAATAATCTATCATAACCTGTAATAAACTAACTCAGAAAATACAACGAAAATTCTCCATCCCGATTGTTTATCCAACATATCCTCTACTCCACTCGTACAAGCAGATCCTTTTGTACATTGACTGGCATAATTTTGACCTAACTTCGAAATGTTATTTCTCTATGATATATCTAATACCGCCTGCAAAATGTTAAAAACCAAGCAATGGTGTAGCCGTATCCAAAAACGAGAACACCACATTAGCTGTGATGGTAAGTCGAACCACTCAACAAGAACACAATACACCTGTATTTCATTTAGTACATGTACCAACAATCACCTGATATAAACTCCCGCGTGATTTCAGGAGCTTATCGCCCTGTATCAGCCCATAGGGTTAATGACGTCTAAGTAAATTGTCTGGTGTATCAATGTACTAATGTCGTATACTTATAGTAGTATTATTTGTTTTGCACTGGGTCGGGCCTATACACTCGTTATGGACTGTAGGAAGCATGGAACTTTTCTTTTGTGTAACAGTGTACAGGGTGTGCGCCTTGTTCTATCGTCGAATCAAATCGTGAACAATAGTATACTGGAGTGCTCAGAGCCGGATCACTATCACATATATAAACATTCCCTAGATCGCATGTGTATCGCCGCGGTTCTTCAAAATGTCACTGTATCGGCCGGCAAGGTAAGTGGGTTACACATATGTAAACTAGTCGTAAAAGAGGGTCAAAATAGTCAATTTGTTAATAATACTCTTTCGCGTGGTTATATACAAAGTGTTATCAATTATGTAATAGGATGGCGGGAAACATATGTGCAAATACATTTGTAGGCAAATGAAAAAGTAAAAATAACATAGGCGAATCAGAATGTATGAACTTTTTCATCATTTTATTGATATATAAATGTCTGCAATCATAACTATTTCAAACATTTCAACAAAATGTAATAGATATTTCTTTTATTAAATCGATTTCGTTGATAATGATATTGATCTAGAGCGGTATGTTTCTTCGTGTTTCTTCTAACTACCTAAATCCCAAAAACAATCTTATGACAAAAATTCCGAAATGTAACATCTCTAACGTGGGAACATATCCTCACTTTTGCAGTATCTTGTTTTCACCTGTGTTTCAATGTGAAATACTTTTGTTGTTTCGCCTAGATATTTTGATTAGATTTCTTCCAAATTTATATTGTGATTGATTCAAAAATATTTAACTGAATATAACCTTTGAATCGCTTTTTGAGGATTTTTTTGTTTGTTTTTGCATCTCACTTTTGATGAATTGTTACCTCCTTCTGTACTTGTTTCAGCTAAAATCAAATCCAATGTATTATATTATACTAGACATTTTTATTTGTGCTACCTGTAACGTATTTGTACCGTTTCTTCTGCTAATTGATTGTTAACTTCCGGGTATTTATTCAATACATATTCTCGACATAAGCTTAGTTCTCGCTATAGAAATATCCACGTTTGTTTACACATGTCTTGGGTCAAAATATGGAACACTGCTGTACTGTTTTCATGTTTATTTATAGGTAAGCATTGTTCCGGATTTAAATACCTTTTGATTACTTGTCTCAATAGCTGTATCATGCTAGTTCAATTTATGAATAGATGGCTAGTTACTTAGAAAATGTGCGCGTATTTAGGATATAGATATATGAAATAAAACGACAACTTCGATTTTCACATACTTGTATATCCGTGAGCTATACCATAATTCTTTGAAAATCACAAACGCTCTTTACGACTTGCATGTGTTTTTATATTTCGTTTGTTAAAAATGAAGAAGTTCGTTCCGTTTTTTCAGGATATTAAGAATAACAAATAACATTTTTATTTTCATTTTTTCCCCATTTTATCGATATTTAATTTGTAATGTAAAAATAAAACGAAGAACTGTCAAGTAATTTGGATAATCCTAAGAAAATGTATAATCAAAATAATTTCAAAGTGTCATTTTGTTTCGGAATCTATAAGATTGTTTTGCCTCTAGTTAGATAAGATTTCTTTTTCATATTCCAGTCGTTAAATTTGCCTATATATACATCATGCTAAAAATGAATTGCACATCTAGGACTCATCAGTTTATTTTTCGATTAATGTACCGTTCACATTAAATGAAGATGGAATTTAAATGTCTTCATCGAAGTTGGATGTAAGAATGGGCTTTTTAAAATGAATAACAAATTAAGAGAATACTGAATTAATAAAAACGAAACAATTAAACCCAAATCGATGACGCTAGAGCATAATAAAAACAAAAGCAAGATTACACGGTGACCCGTCTGAAAGTACAAGGAGAATGAGACCATGTGTTCCGGAAGAACAAGCGTCCTGTATTTTATCGATGACAAATGGCATTAAGACCTAGCGAGAGGTTAACATTTGGACCTTTTAAAAATAATCTATAGCAAACAGGAAATGTAACGACTTCCAATGGAAATGCTTACATAATATTATTTCTACGGAGGCAAAATTATTTAAAATGAGACCTGTCAAACGGTTTATCTACACTTTGTCATTTAGTTCAGGTAAATCAAATTCATTTATTCTTCAGATGTAATAAAATAACATAAATTTGGGAGAGAGTTGACTCATTGATAAACAAAGCCTTACAGGAAATATCAAATTCAAATCAAATTTACCAAATAACTGAGAAAGTTGTAATGATAGGAAGCTGTAATTTAAACCAATAATATAATGCAATTATCAACTTGTTTGTCTTTACTACATACAAAATGGCACATATGGAAAGAAAAAAATAAGATAAAATTTGATGATGAATATGAAGCTGCTGACTTCACACAACATATTTTGAAGTGTGATAAAACAAGAACTAAGGTTTACAATCAATGCAATTGAAAGCAATAAAAGATATCGACAATTGGGGAATAAGTTACAAGCGTATTTTTGTAATTGAAGTTGAAATCAATGTAAGATAAATTGAGTAGAAAGAAAGAAAATGAATAGGAGAAAAAAATGGACAGAGTGAAGAAGATGAGCGTACGAAATAGAGAGAGTCAGAGAATGGAGATGCTACATGTACTATGGTCAGGGATTAGGCCAGGCCCCATCCTTGTATTCCCTATTGTATTCGGGATAATAAACCATAAATTAGAAAGAAAGAAAGAAAGACCTAGCGAGAGCTAGGGAAGAAACAATGACACTACAAGGAACGCAAATTAGCATAATGAAAAGCGTCGTTATTTCACCTCGCAGGGATATATGATTTTCCAATGATACCATGATAGTGACCTTAAAACTAACCCCTAGTTTTCATCGGCATGTATCTTGAATCCAGAGCTGTCAATTTGTCCGTCAGTATTCGGTTTCTATCACGGAAAGCAGGTTGAATTTTAACACTCATTAAAATACCAAGCCTTTGATGTCATGAAAAATCCTGACACATTTATATATTATATTGTTATCTAAATGTTAAACTTAAGTGAATTCAGTAACAAAAATACATTTGACGGACAAATCTAAAATCAGAACTATTTCCTCGTTTGATTCTGTATTCTTTATTTTTCCGACTTTGTTTTCGTCCCATTGTGGTGAGGTTTGGCAAAGATAATTATCCTTCAACAAGATCTTGCGTTTCTTTTGATAATATCGTCATAAAAGCCAGTTTCTAATCTATTTAATCATAAGATAATCCGTAAAAACGATTTGATAGCAAAATTAAGATCGACGTCTATTACAGCTTTTATGCACTGATATCACAATAACAAAGCCAATATTATGATATAAATAGTACCGTTAAATACATAGAACAATTTCCAAGCTGTGTGCAAAATGTCCTCATATTTATTCATTTTCTTATGGATCATGGTCATATCAATGGAATGTTAATACAACAAATAAGACTTAGATTCAAACCTACAAAACAAGCTTTACAGTTCATTATAATAATTGAATAAATTGAAAAATATACTGTTAAAGGGACATCCCCGAGTGTACACAGGGCCGTAATGATAGATATCGTGTAAAATTGTGTACTTTAAAATATATATATAAAATTCCATGATAGGTGATCTAGATCTAATAACCAATGAAGTATTAAGAAGGATGCATTTATATATAATTTATAATTAAACGTTCAGAAAGAATGTATTGATTTCTAATAAAATAATTAGAAGGATGTATATATATATTAAACAGACCTGGTTACTCATTTTATAGCGGTAGAGCCAAAGCATAAATTCTTTTAAAATAACACATTCACATAGGTGTGAACTCCACGTTGAAGTTGGTTTATTTTTACAAGTCTACATATTGTGTTATAAACATTTATTACGAGACAATGTAACGACAAGGTTTAAGTAAGGTTATGTAAGCACATTGTTCCTACTCATGTTTTGAACTAATTATAGCTCTGTACCTCGGGAGATCTGTGGATCATTTTCAAACAATTCAAAATGAATACTTATTTTATAATTCGATAAAAGAATATATGTTGCTGTATTTTTTAATTAATCTCATTTACAAATTTAAGATTATGAACATGCAGGACTCTCAATTAGTATCACTTCTCAGAAAGATGACTCGGCAAAAATTGTTAAATAAGTAAAATACGATTAATATCTTCATAAAAAATCATTTTATTGTCAATTTTGTTAGATATTTCAAATCTTTACATCACTATCTAGATTTTATGATACCAACAACATCCAAAACACATTGAAAAAATATATGCGTTCCGGAAAAAATCGAATACACCAGCAATAGACAAAATGAAGACGCCAGTCGGGTAAAGGGGGTTGTGAGTTTAACTTATATATTTCACTCCATGAAACCGTGAACCTAGCTGACGAATAAGCTACGACCTGTGCAGGGCATAAGCAGAACCAATAGTGAGCACGTCGATAGTTATTTAATTCAAACAAATTTGAAGTCTTATTACTAGAACTTTGCATAATTGTATTGTCGGCAGCTAAACCCCAGACAACACATGATGTAAAGTTGTATATGTTTGGATGATAAAGACTATTAAACCTAAAACAATATTATTTTAACCCATTTATTTATATGTCCTTTGTAAGAAGGAAACAAAATGTGTCTATGTTAATATGATTATGTTGTTGTTTAATGCTGTAAGATTTTTCTTGTTGATTCTTAACAAAATGTATATCGGTAGATACTAAATCAAATGTAAGTCACGTGATAAAAATGTCTACTGTCATCGTGACATTCTTATGTGCTTCAACATACGTAGTTGCATATAATTATGCGTGATCTGTTTGTGGTCGACTCTGCCGGCGACTGTCATCTCCCGAGGTTGTGTTTAGTCTTATTGTAGCTGTAAGTAAAATCTGGCAGGGTTTGCATGAACAATTGGATTGATTATAACGTATCTGTTGAAGAAAAACGTTGTAAGTGTGCAACGTGACAAAGGGGTGTATTCTACACATAATTTCAACACTTCCTTCGGGCACGAAAATTGAATTCTTTAGACCTTTAATACAACTGATTATACCTAGTTGGACGACCCCTGAAAGTTTGGGGATGATATGCCTATTGTTTCCCACTGCTATCGTTAAAGACGGCAAGTAGGAACCCCTGCAGAATCGGGGGACTTGTATAAAACTAAAAATGTTTTGCTACCCCCATTGCAACATTTGGGGTCTTCATATATTACTCTCTGCTTTCTAACAACCTCTTCCTTTCTAGTGCCTTGCTTCATTCTACTTATAACTACTGTACCGTCCTTAGCTATATCTCACTTTTGTCTTTGATGTTGAACGCTCGCCAAGGTGGGGAAGGCAATTGGTTCGGGCCGATGGCCGGGACATACCAAATACCTGATGAAAATGGTAGTTGTTATTCCCTGCTTGAAGGTAATGGGAACAAACTGTTCACCAGTTGTCAGTATAATGTGACCGGGCGAGTACTGTGCCGAGTGCTTTCGGCATGGTATGTCAGTGAGGAAGCACTGTAAGTCGGCATCAGATCCGCGCTATCGCAAGGGGCAATTACACGAACATACCCTATTTCCGGCATAGATACATTGCACACATGGAGTAGCGTCCTTGTTTACCTTAGCTGTTAATTGGAAGTTAAACTCTAAATTAAATCAAACCCTGCTTAACAGTCAGCACATGGGATAATGGCAACAACTGGTTCACCCATTGTCAGTATCATGCGACCGGGCGGAATGCTGTGCTGGGTGCATTTGACATAGTATTTTATTCAGGCAGCACTTTAATGTCAACATAAGCTACACGCTGTCACAAGGAGGTAATACATCAACATAACATGCCTCAGGCACACATGCACGCATACCAAACACTCGTGGAGGCACGTCATTTAATGACCATAGCTGTTGACAGGACGTTAAACAAATACAAACAATCAATTTGTGTTGAGCGGTCGCCAAAGAGTGGTAGGAAATGGGTTCTGATATTTTCCGATCAGACTCCATTCCAAATTTTGAAATGTGTAAGATTCTTTTTGCACAAACAATTAAAGTAGAGAAGTTTATTGCGATGAAAAATAAATCTCTATTGCCCTTCCAAAATAAATGGGGTCCATTCGAACATTTTTCTAATAATAACGACCTTAATTAATTATTATTTTAAATATTACTGAGATTGCTTTTTTGTTTTTTAAAGAAGTTCTCTCCTTATTGATTTGAAATGATTGCTACCCTCGCATGCTCATTAGTGATGTATCCGGTGCCTAGCTAGCCAATCAGGGGGCTCCCTCCTTCCTGCCTCTTTTGTGTCATGCCTCAGTACATTTACCAAGTATTATATAGTATCTTTGTATATATAATGAATGGGAAAACTTCAAAACTTATGAATGAATAGATGAAATGAGTGAATGAGTGTAAACAAAGAAAGAATTAATGGAGATAATAAATGTATGAATGAATGTAAACAAGGAATAAATGTAAAAGGACGGATGTAATGAAAAGAAATGAATGAATGAATAAGTTAACAATTGAATGAATAATTAAACGACTGAATGAAAGAATGAATGAGAGCCCTCTTGCATGAGGATTTTTTTTGTAAGGATATTGAATCCAGGGCCCCAACCCTGGCAGTATTCCAAAAATGTTGTGGGGCAATAAAACAAACAAAAAAGGAAAAAGAAATGGGTTTTGTCCTTAGGGACGTAACATACCAACGTCCTCAAAATTGGTATTTGCTATTCTGTGCATAAAGTTCAGCATTTAGGGTTATTGCAACAACTAATATTGATATGCTCTTGTTTTTATACCATCTACAATATCAAAACAAGAATTATGGGATTGCAGTATACATGTATATAGTGGTATCAAGATAGGTGTGATATAAATCGCACGAACATAGCCGAATACATTCATTTGCATGAGTGCAACGTTCTGTATTAAAGATAAAAGGTTACATCAAGTTTATATTATTTCAATTGTAAAAATGTAATAAAATATCTAATATTTTCGCAGAAAAATTGCACGTGTACCATCGTCATTGATGTCACACACACGTAAAAGTTCAGCAGCGTCTGTTGTACAGCCTAATACAGCAAAATGCCCATTTGCCGCTGCTCTACCCATTCACGATCCAGATATTGCCTTCCCTTCCATGGCCAGCGACAGTGCTATCAAGCCTTTTGAGGAAATGCCTAGTCCAAGAGGCATTTATGGTATCCCCTATTTAGGAACAGCTCTACAACAATATCCATTCAGTAAGTCTTCTGTAAGGATCCATTCTGTGATATAATTGTCAATGTTGAAATGTTATTACATTATACTTCAACTTTTAGTATTTCTGAAGTAATATTTTACTAGAATTATTTGGTTTACGAAAAGTAATTGAGGTCTTTCAAATCGATATATCATCATAAGTGCTGCGTTGAAATTAACACGGAATAACGTGTTGTCAACTCTGTGTATCATTACAGCTAAGTACCGTACAGAACGTTTTGACGAGAGGGCGGAAGAATGGCGCAGGGAATTTGGCGATATTTGTAGAGTTCGATTGCCAAGCGAGTGGAACGTGTTCGTATTTGATCCCTGTGACGTTGAAACAACTTTTAGGGCCGACAGCAAGTACCCCTTCCGTCGGTCATTGCCGCTGTTTGATGTTTACAACAACAGCAGGAACAGAGAATCTACCATAGGAGAACGGTATGTTCTACAATGTGTGTCAATCTTTTATTTGTTTTTTTTTTATTGAAAAGCGTTGCACATTATTATATGACCCGCAGGTGGACCTTATGGTTTTGGGCGTTCCTAATGCGAAGTTCGGTTTTTTCAGAACATTATTTTCCTTTTTAAACACGAAAAGAATATTAATGTTAACCATCATGCCAAAACCATAATGCACGAACAACAAATAATTCCCCAATATCATTCGAAAAGACCAAGAAATGAAAAAAACGGTTGCGAGATAACACTAGTTACCAATTTTAGACGACGCCTGCTAGCATAACTTTATCTCGTTAATGATATATTTGTAATATGTTCCTTCTTTGTACGTTTTGATAAAAAAAAAATGCAATGACAATAGAATAGCACAGCCATCTGGCGTTGTTGCTGTTTGATCTCTTACATTTTACTAGGGAGTTATAGGTCCTTTCAATAACAAATGATAAAAATGCCGTGGTTCTCGGTACGGCATCTACACTGCGTAGGTTTATACAGTACTAGTTTTAGTTCATCGTATAGTCGTGCTGATTCTGTTTTACTTATTTTTTTAATACAGTAACGGCAAGAATTGGTGGGAGTTGAGGAGTCCAGCTCAGAAGGGCATCGGTCGGCCTAAAACCCTGTCAAAACTTTTACCCAAACTGAGTGTGGTAGCAGATGACTTTGTAAATAACTGTAGAGAGACAGGCAGACTCGAAAACCTTCCATACCCATTCTTTGAGTACGCATCAGAGGGTAAGATGATTATTAACATGTAACTAAAACGCTTTCGTTACTAATAGGTAATACTCATAACGGTGTTAGTATTAGTGTTATTCATTGAGCAATTTTCTTTTTCTTTCTTGAAAATCACTCGATTCTGACATTTAATCCTACGTTTTTTATACTTTGGTTTTGGTTAATGAACGTGTATTCAAATAATGTGATTAAATTAACTCCTTATCTTATCTGCCCTTTTATCTTGCAGGAGCAGGATTACTGTGCTTCAACAAAAGACTTGGTATCGTATCATCGCCAGGTTCACCAGTTAACAGAGAGTTTATGGAGTTTGTGGATAACTACTTTGACTACTTCGGAGAACAACTGCTAGCGCCAATTCACTGGTTCAAATGGTTCAGAACCCCTGGCTATCGCAAATTCGAAAATGCGTCTGATATTTTAATGAGGTGAACATAAAATATCTTTATTTATTAACTAAGACGAAATATTCATGTTCTCTGTTACCAGTGTTGAAATATAGAAAATATAGAAATGCATTATAAGCATGGCCATCCACGTTGGTGGTGATTTGTTTTGTCGGTGTTACATAAGGTTTTATCAATGCAATTGAAATGTATCCTTTTATCACAGTTACACAGACAAGCATACAGAAATAGCAGTAAAAAATCTAAAAAAAACACCGGACTCGAATGAATTCAACCTACTTCACTTCCTACTAACGACTCCGGGTATGACACCAGCTAAGGTATCGTCCCTAATCGTCGACGTTTTCCGGGGAGGTATTGATTCCGTAAGTCATTTTCATTTACATTGACATTTTTGGCTTGAACAGTATTGCAATAAATTCAATAACATGATTGACATCAACTCTTTTGTATCTGTTTTAAACATATATTTTTTTATTTAGCATTATGTTTGCATGGAAAACAGTAATATTGTATGATCACAGACACTGTACCAGTTAAATCAAGCACAAAAATGAATGGTGATAAAGGATCATTACTGCATTATTAAAAATATATATATACAAGAACACAATGACACAATGACATTGCCAATTTCCTAATCTGGCGTTTTCAACATTGTAACGCTTCAAAACAGAGCATATTTTAATACTTATGTATGTTACTTTCAGACGGCAAATGCAATGACCTTCATGCTTTATCACCTTGCAAAATATCCTGATATACAAGAAAAATTGTATGAGGAGTTAGCTCCACGGATACCGGCAGAAGGCCCTATTGGTCAGGATGGCTTCAAGGATCTGCATTACCTGAAGGCTTGTCTTAAGGAATCATTCAGGTGTTCAATCAATACCTCAGTAACAAATATGAATACTAATTACTATTTTGTTTTCAATAAATTACTCTTTTCTATCTACTTTCTCTTCCTGGTGGTGTTTTCCTTGGCGCCCGTTCTTACTTGACCCAGGGTGTTGTGAGTACGTTAAACCTCAAACAAACAAGAAAACCATCTGTGATATGAGACGCGGTAAACTAGTGGTAGGACGCCGGGCTTGTGACCGAAGGGTTGCGGGTTCGAGTCACGCCACGGCACTGTGTTGTTGTATCTTTGAGCAAGATACTCTACTCCGCTTGTTCCAGTCTACTCAGCTGTACATGAGTACTTGGCTGGGTAGTGCTAGAATTGTTGAATGCTAGCTGTGAGCGCCGAAATGGCAGCACCGACTGAATGCTCCCCAGGGAGTTTAGAAAGATATTGGCTGGTTGCAAAGGCCCTATAACCACGGATAATAATTTGTGAACTGCTTTGAGACGACCTAAGCGGTTGTGATAAAGCGGTATATAAGAACCTGGAATTATTATTATTAAAATATGAACAATATATCGATATATATATATATAAATTAAAAAAACTCAGAACTCACGCAAATATAGGTGTCATACCTTTATAGAAATTTAGAAATTAAACATTTGTATCTTTTTGTTCAGATTCGTTTATCCCGTGATCATGGGTACCCAGAGAGTGTTGGACAGAGATGTTGTGCTTTCTAACTACGCAGTTCCGGCGGGGGTATGTATACCATATATAGAATCTAGGGGGCAGGAAACACTCTTAGATATTAGTCCAACTTTCAAAATATCAATTGTATAACAAAAAGCAATACCGAGTTGGTAACATATTTCATGAACATGACGTTTTGATATTGCAATGGAGAATATTAAACATTGGTGCGCATTATCATATTCCATAGAAGTGGTATATATATAGATCATACGGATCACAAATATGGATACGAGAATAAAATGCTACACTGCACTTTACCAAGTGTTATTAGAGATTTGCACTTGTTATCTTCCTGTACATTTAAATATAAGCATGTCCTAAAGAGTCTTCATAGCTTGACTTAACGTGGTACTTTTGATATGTAAAGAAATGCCAAAATGACGTCATCCAAGACATTATACGTGTATGTTGAATTAGAAGTAAAAGATAAGTAGGTTGTGGGTAGTTAGCATGTCTCCTTCACAACATGTTGGTTCAATATCATATTCCAAGGAAGCGGTGACTACAGATCATACCTTTACAAATTTCGTCAAATGGTGTCTCATTAATCTAGGATTTAATTCAGCTTTTTATATCATACAGACTATATCGAGACACAAGTAAAAGAGTATCACAGCGTGTTTCGTTGTACCCAAGTAGGTTCGGGAAAGAATTAGCCTGCTGCATCTCATTGTAAGTAATTGCTGGAGATTTCGGGGTTTTCTCGCTGTCTTATGCTAAGCGAGCAGGGAAGAAAGCCTAAATGATATGCTGTCGATATAATAGCACTCATACGTCGGCATTAGACCTGGACTATTACAAGCAGACAATTTCAACATCATACCGCGCACACACAAACAAATACTAGTAAACAGACTAATTTATTGCATGCAAAATGGTCTGTATCACTATTACAGTAAGGTTACATGAACGGAAATGACACAAAAAACACCGATGCTTATCTTTATTTCTTTTCAGACAACAATCAATCTGTGTATAACTTCAATGTGCAAAAATGAAAAGTATTTCGCTAATCCGGACAAGTTCTTGCCTGAACGTTGGTTGAGGAGTAACCCATACCGGGAAAAATCCCATCCATTCGCACACATTCCATTTGGATACGGAACACGGAACTGTGTAGGACAGAGATTCGCGGAGCAGGAGATATACGTCAGTGTTTCTAAAGTGAGTTCGTTTTAACCATATACAGTATATAAAATATATTATCTAGATCCGGTTATGTCAGTCGAGGGTTAAGATTCTGTAACAAAATCCCAACCGCGGATGAATACATCGCAGTGTAAAATGTCCGCGAATTCCACGTAAAGGTGCCAGACAGATCGGACGAGATAGAAAATTTAGCATAGGGTATGACGTGGGATATCCCTGTCTGAGGTGCGAGAATATTTTAGTAGGTTACTGCGTTAGTTGCGTTACACTCGATATACTTGTTTGTTACGTTTTATACACTAGTTGTATACTTCGGAAACAAAAGCAATTTGTGTTGCACTGGTTATGCTAAGTGTTACATTGAAGACGATATCTAGCTGTGTTAAGCTCAGTATGCTTAATGTTTCGCGTAGAAGTTTTCTCCTCAATTCCCTAGATGATTTGCCGGAAAAAAATTCTAGCTGTGTTAATCTATATAATATGCTACAAAATGTGATGCATGCAACAGTTGTGTTATACTGTCTGTGGTAGATTATTTGTTATATGCAATGATTATTGATTTTCTACCAATATTATAGTCAAGGTATCTTACATACCTTGGACCAGTTAACTGCATCTACACCGCACGTGTCAGAGGTAGGGCTCGAGCAAAGGGTCATTAGTAATGTTGATCGAAAGGTCATTTGATAATGGAAACTATAGAGGATAAAAACAAGGCCAAATAATTTCACATTTTTCAGCTTTCAATAACAAATGTGAACGTCGGTAGGTCATGGCCTGGATATTGATTGGTCAATAGTATGAAATGCTTGACCTTTCCTTTTGCGTTGACCATGAGTGTACTTAATGACATGAAACATGTATACATATCAAGTTGATCGAATTTAGAAACTGATAAGAAGTATTCCTATCAATGACGCGTAAACATGTATCATTTGTTTGTTTGGCCATTCCTGTAATAGTACTTATTTTTTGGTGGGGTTTCAGCTTTATATAAATTAATTTTACTGACTCTCAACACGATATTTCACCATGCAACATCAGTTAACATGTATTTAGATCGTGTACCCATGTGCAACTATTTCAGGTGCTTATTCTTATGCACTTTTGTTGCAAACATGCTTACAGCTAGAAAGTTCACGAATTCGGCTATTTAGTGGAATAGTGATCCCGGGGCTGTATATATGTGTAAATCTTAACTCGGATACATTCATCGTTTCGAATTCCCGATTTCGACATATCGTGAGTCGATTGTACATTAACATTATGACAACTTGACCTTATGATATAAGTCACAACTCACTATTCTAGTCTTTCAGTATGTTATAGATAACGACAAATGTAGAATCATTTATTTTCGTGGGATAAAAAAATCGTGGTTTTCATTTACTAGCCTGTTTCAGGACATTATATTTCGCTGATATTTATTTTCCCCTATCATACCATATATATCTTTTCGTGGGGATTTAATTTCCTGGTTTTTTGCTATTCACGAAATAAACGAAATTTAATGTCCCATGAACATTCCTGATTTTATAGTAAAAACCATTTATACATGTAATCGATGACTATTCTATTGCTTTCTTTTTATATTACGCATTCATATATTTATAGTTTACTTAAAATGTTTTACCCTCAGTAAATTATGAATTATTTCTAGATATTCTTTCAATCATGTCTTTATACCGTGTCCTTCTTCTATCCCAATTTCTCTCTAAAACGTACAAAGACAAGGCCTGATAAGTTAACATATTAAAAAATTCAATAAAACGTTCACTCCGTGTTATGTTGTTGAATAATTTAGTACAAACGGTGTGGGTTTCTTAGCGAAGTAGTTTAATTGTCAAATCTTTTTGTGGTATAATTAAATACCCTAACAGTTTATAATATCTACATATCAAGTATATCATTATCACATTTTTATCTTCTCCCTACATATCCCCTAAATACGATACAGTGAGTCGGCAACTATTCCTTTTGTTCTGCCGTCCGTTTCTCGGTTCCTATATTTTGTCTGCCTACTAACCTCTCCAGCACATGCCGGTTATCCTGTAATCAATAATAAGTAGGTGGACTGTGTGCTAATATTGTATCCGTTACTACCATCAAGATAACTTGTCGGACGATGTAGCGCGTGTGACTGACAGGCCAGTAAACAATTAAAGTACACACTCATAGCTGATAGATATTTGTCAGGTCAGTGATTTAATGTATCCCTTCCTCACACTTTACTTATTTTATTTTCTCGTACAGCTTATTAAAAACATGAGAATCTTAACTGTTAACAAAACTAGGGCAAAATATGAGACAGAAAGGATGTCATGGAAACGTTAAGGGTAAAAAATACTAGTTTTTCGAAAGAATAAATGTTTTTTGCTTACCATAAAAATAGGTTTACTCATATAGCTCACCATACAATGTCAAACGATGTCTTTGTCTGTTTTGTTCGTCGGATGATCCTTTAAACTTCCCTTCCTTGAATTTTTTTTTTTTTTTTTTTATCTTATTTTGGTTTGAAGCATACATCGTGTAAATGAATACGATATTCTTTCAATAATGATTATGCTTTCAAGGATGCCATAAATTAAAAACAATAACAAATTGACGTAAACCACCCAGATCACACACAAATCGACGATTGTTGACATCAATGCAAAGAGGAAACGACAAAGTCCATGAAACTGTAGTGATTATGGTTGGTTTCTAATTGGATTTAATGTTCGATTATGAGTACATAACAAAAACAGTTTTCCGGGTTTTTTTTATATTTCAATTTCATAAAAAATAAGAATATTTTATCTGAACTCAGTATTTATTCTTTAAATGCAATGACCGTGTATGTTGGTTAAAAAAAATTGAAACGATTGTGTCAAGAATCCAACCATGACAGTCATAACTTAAGACATTTGATGTTCATAAACGATTCGTTTTAAAAGCAAGTAACCGAGTAAGATGATAGGGTTTTTTCGTACCGTTACTCGATCTTCAAGATTTTTATGACGGTGTGTATTAAAACATGCACCGTTACACATTCGTATAAAACAAATTACATTTAAGGAAATGACTTCTAAGCTATGGTAATTCATATATCCAAAATCGATAAAATGGAGTCAATGAATTTCCGTTAATAAGCGCGTGTAAGTTTGTAATATATTAGTTAGGCCAGACACAGATAAGTAAGCACCATTTATGCAGGAAAGAAATGTTAAATATACTAATAAGATGATGCATTTTTTTCCTTTCTATATTTTAGATTGTAAAAAACTTCAAGATATCCCTTCCGAAGGGTCAGGATGATGTGCAATTTGTCTACTCAACCTTCGCTACTCCTAAACATAAGTTCACACTGAATTTGAAGCCCCGATGAGCCGGCGATTGCAATGATAGATTGTCCAACCGTTCAGGAATTGCCTGTCACGAGAGATGCCGATGTCAGGTCAGGGATACCTTCAATAGGTGGTGTCTAAGGTGTTAGAACTGGAAACTGGACAGCGACCGTACTATTGATTATTGTAGTTATGTCAGTTGTTTGAATGATATTTACTGATGCGTTTTTGTGATAATTTGTATCTATTAGCGACGCTGACGTCAGTAGTAATATTGATCAACTGTGTGACGTGCCTAATCAGTGTACATGGAAGTGCTGTACTTTAAATGTGTGACGTACCGAATTAGCGTACTTGTAACAATTATACTTAACTGTGATCATTAACAAAATAGCGTCACTGTGATATGTAGCTTGAGAGTCACCTTCCTGAGTACACACGAGTAGTTCATGTCAAGTTCATGACGATACCATACTACATATGAAATGCTTGTATACTTTATACACGCTCACATGTAACTAGGGTGTATGATGTGTTGTGTACTGATATTCGCTCTCACAAGTTGGCCCGCATGGTGACGGGTAAAAAATGTGAAAATTGAAATTCAGCGAAAAATTCCCAGTGTTTGTTATACGCATGACAATTTATAACATATATGTTTCCTGTCTATCTGCGACTCGAACTCCCCGACACCATATATATCTAGCCGAGATGTATCCACACTTCTGACCGTCATACCAATACAAAATCCATCTACTGAGCTAGGCGATGTGTCGTGTACACTAGTGTAAGTCGATTGGAAGGTTTAAGATATGAACTACCTGTCGTAGTTGTACTTTGGTTTGATTTGTTTGACGTCCTTTTAATAGCTAATGTCAGTTAAGTACGTGCCTCCTTGCGTGTATGTGTGCCGGAGACAGGGTATGTCAGTGTACGTGCCTCCTTGCGTGTATGTGTGCCGGAGACAGGGTATGTTAGTGTACTTGCCTCCTTGTGATGACGCGGATCGGGTACCGACTTTATAGTGATATTTCACTGAAAAAACATGCCGAAAGCACCCATCACAAAACTCCGCCCGGTCACATTATACTGATAACGGTTGAACCAGTTGTTGCCATTATCCTAAATGCTGAACGTTAAGAAGGGAGTAACAACTACCATTTTGAAGGGCTTTGGAATGTACCGGCCTTGGAACAGAACCCTTTGCCTTCCTCACCTGGGCGAACGCTCAACATTAAAGCCAGCAGTAAGGTATTGCCAAGCAAGACGCTAGGAAATGAAAGGTAGTTAGAAGGAGAAAGAAAGATAAATATCCCAAATAGTGCTATGGCCGCAGCAGGTTTATTTTGGTCGCTTTGTGTCCCCGAGTAGAGGGCACAAAAACAAATCTCCAATTCTGCAGGGGCTTAAACATTAGTCGCCTCTGAAGTTTTTCTTTTCTCGAATGAACGACATCAAAACTACGATATACAGTATTTTTTTGTTATTCGTATTCATGTATATTTCTATACGTTGCAGTCTAGGTATCATCAATAGACGATATTTTTGCGATCTAGTTATCAGCAATAGACGATATGTATGCATCTGAAAAGCTAATACAATGAAAACGTAAGTGCGAAATCGTTTTTGTCATTTAAACCTTTTTACACATTTTATACATATGTATCAAATGTTGTGAATCTTCAAATTTCTTTTTTGATTGAATTGGAAGCAATATTTCCTTCATGTCTGCTTTTCTCATATCCTTAATATGAAATCTGGCATATAACATTTTTACAATACTAGATATGAAATGTGTTCTGAATAGGTTGGTGATATTCACATTGAATTATTTTATAATGCATTTTGATTGATTTACGTTTACAAATATCTCGCTGGCGAGAAATTGTTTAAATATTTTATTTCTATTATACTTACCATGTACAGAAAGGTTGAAATTAACAGAAACATAGCATCAATGCCGAAGTACTGTCATTCTTGAGCAATGTAGAGTTCCTGTGACACTGTTTTATTGCTGATCTTAGGTACTGTGGTATTATGTTATATTAAAAATATATGTACATTTCTCCAGAATGTATTTTATTGTAATTTTTTTATAACAACATATTTAACAGCACAGTTTTAACAAGAACAATTTTAACCGAAGTGGTATCAATGAAAACATTGGCATCAATGACAATGACGCAAGAATGTTCAACTACAGACACTACGTCATATAAAAATTTAAAAAAAAACCCACAAAACCAATGTTTACAAAGCAAAATAATTAATCACGAGTTGTTCGGTCATTTAGAAATGAAGATACCCGCTGACCTTTCATAAGAAGCGAAGCCTGCAGAATTGTGAATATCCTTTAGTGCCCTTTTCTATGGCTACCAAATGGAACTACCATTTCGCTGGTCATGTTATGCCTTGATTATATTGCTGTGAGTTCGAATCATGGTTTTGTTAACACTTCAGTATTTTGTTATACTGCTTCTTTGTCGACACAAACAAACAACAAAACACATTACGTCAGATAATGCGTTTTGTTTAATTCATGACGAGTAAACGATAATACATATGAATTAAATGTTCATATTTATGTCGGTGTGAGTAGCCGAGACCAACACACGTTTACCATATATAGCTAAAACCCACACATTGACCAAGTAAGTCCCGACATTTCACACAAATATAATACTTGAAATTTAAAAATACTTTATTATTCCTCCCTAAATCTAAGAGGTAATCCCATGCTTTTCAAGATATGTTTTAATTGAACATTTCAAACAAACGCCACTTTTATATGGTTTAAACATCAAAACACCATATATAGCAGAAACATCAAAACACCATATACAGGAGAAACATCAATACACGATATATAGCAGAAACATCAATACACGATATAAAGCAGAAACATCAATACACGATACATAGCAGAAACATCAAATAAACTATATATAGCAGAAACATCAATACACGATAGATAGCAGAAACATCAATACACGATACATAGCAGAAACATCAAAACGTGATATATAGCAAAAACATCAATACACGATATATAGCAGAAACATCAATACACGATATATAGAAGAAACATCAATACACGATATATAGCAGAAACATCAATACACGATACATAGCAGAAACATCAATACACGATATATAGAAGAAACATCAATACACGATACATAGCAGAAACATCAACACACGATATATAGAAGAAACATCAATACACGATATATAGAAGAAACATCAATACACGATATATAGAAGAAACATCAATACACGATATATTACAGAAACAAACTGTATTAAAGTATTTCACCGGAATGCGTGGTTAGTTGTTTCGTTATTTGTAAAAAAGAATCTTCCGTGAGTTGTCTTCATTTTCCGGACAGTTGTCACTTCAAGTTTGGTCCCGCTGGTCCAGATTGAGGGTGAGTTTACCCCTTGGGGTGGCAAACACTCGGTACTCCCACGACACGTTGGTGTTTCCGCGGGGTACAGACAAAACAAAGTTTTGGATCAACTGCAAAGCAAAAAACATATTTCACATAGTCACCGAAATAAAGATAAAATAAAAAATCCTTATGGAGAAGCTGAGGGACTCATGTTGCTATTTTAAGTAATGTCACTAAAGCTTCATAAACCTTGAATTACGTAAAATAAAAATAGCGTCAAAAAATACACCAGGACGAATCTGTTCTTAAAGATTATACAAAAAGACAACAACACTAGTCGTATTTTGACGCTGTATACCCCAGAAGTGCAATGAATGGAATGCAAATTTTAGAGATTTTTTTTATATCAATCTTTAACAGCCTTTCCGGAAGAGTGGAAATCTGATGATTAATTAGTGAAAATTCACATATTGTCAACGATTTTGGAGGAATTTTAGAGAAACGTCATTTCGATTGCTGTTACACGTTTACGCTTGATGATTTGGCTGACACATGATTAAAGCGAGTTAAAAGAATGTTGGTTTTGGCAAAGAATACATACTTGAGCATGAGAACAGTTTCACGAATATGGGACCTGATCTCTAGGAAAGATGAGGGTCATTTGTTTTATCAACAACGTTCGCCATATAAATATATGTCAAATCCTTTTGGAAGTGTCACTAAAAAAAAAAAAAAAAAAAAAAAAAAAAAAAAAAAAAATGAACATATGACCTTATCCGTTTCAAAATTTGGACGTTATAGTGTTATACAATAACAACATTCGAACCTTGGTGATGCCGATATGGAGCTCCCTCTCAGCAAACCTCTGCCCGAGACAGCTTCTCTTTCCAAACCCGAACGGCAGAAATGCAAAAGTGTTGAGTGTCTTGTATGAATCCGAGTCGACGATGTCTGACCGCATCCATCTCTCCGGAAGATATTGGTCACTGTTCTCGAAAAAGCGGTCGTCCTGGACCATTGTCGGACATGCCACCATCAACAGGGTCTATAACAGTAAGTCCAAATAACAGAAATATGTATTTTACGCCTGATTATTTGGATCAATTCATTGTTAACATAAAAAAGGTGTAAAAGTGTGCTTTGGTGTATTTAAAAACAAATATGAACATATCGCAGCCTCTCAAAACACACACGCATACACTACACGCATGTATCTTGCACACAGGAAAGGCCGTCCTTAAATGACCATAGCTGTTGGAAGGACGATTAACAATACTAAACCAAATCAAACCGAACCAAAAGCAAATATGCTTTTGCTTAACTTACAATGTTTGAACGAAACAGCAGCTGTGTCAATTCATGATATATGAAATAATATTGCATATATTAATTGAGCTTATTTTTTTCTAAACAAAAATAAAGCGTTTAAAAACACTCAAGATGTGTATTGGCATATAATAAACAGCATAATTTCTCGCTGACTGTAAGCAATATCTCATATTCAGGAATGATAAGTAGATTTATTCTTTTTTATAAGGAATATTGTGATTTTGTGCTACCAGTATCTCTCACGTGGAGCAATATTGTAATTTAGCACTAAATGTACCAGTATGTGGAAATATCTTGATTTAGCGCTGCAGCTACAGCCTCCATCGAGAGTAGCAATACCGTGATAAATCGCTACGGTGATATTTAGCGGTTGTCATAATTCAGCATTTCTGATATGCATGAAAAGCACTAAAATCAGGTTCGGGTAAACAATAGGCCTGTTGTATCCCTCTGAACTTATTTGGAGCGCCTTGCATCTAATAAGGAGACAATGAAAAAATCAAGAAGAGACATGCTGTGCCACTGCACATGTTTCGTTAAAGGCGACTAATGTGGGGTCCCCTGCAGAATCGGGAGTTTCCTTCCTCGCCTCTACAAAGAGGACATGAAGAGACCAAAATTGATCTGCTGCCCCCATTGCGACACTTCGGAATAAAAAATTTTCGTTTTCTTCTTTTCCTGTCTTTTCTCTCTCTTATCTCTATTTTTTATCCGTAGACATCCATCCTCATTAACCCTGACTGTTGCGAGAATGTTAACCCCCAAATATACAATATTTCTGTTTCAACTTACTTTTTCTGGTATTTTGTATTGTCCAACCACTATTTCTGACTGGGCAGCCGTTATATAGCCTCCAGATATAGGAAAATGGAGTCTGTAATAGATTACGAGTTTATATTGTTACATGTACACTAATACAATATTCAAACATATTGGTATACTTTTTCATATAAACATATCAGTTTCCCCTCTTGATAAAGGCACTGTGAAACGTCTCGCACAACCTCATCCGGGGTACTCACTTCGTCAACCTTAAGGGCACAAAACGTGATTATCGAGTAGGGTATATCACTAAACGCTTCAGGACAAGAGGCATTTCAAGCTTTTTGTCGTCTCTCCTCCGTTTTTGACCTCCATGTCCGTAGTAAAATTATTTCAAGGGCGACAAAAGTGATGTTGCTCTCTTACCTTCTTTATTCTTTATAATTATGTTAAATTGGACTTAAAGCCTACAATATTTCAGCCTGCTTTAGTCCATGGATATCAAGTTGAAGGTAGTCTTCATGATCTCAATGTAAAATTTACTTATTTAAATTTCATTTAATGCGTACTGTATCTTTGACAAAATATAAGGTGTAATCACCTATGTGTGTCTCAGAAGGATGCTACGCTTCGAACAACGATAAAACGTGGCGGGATGATATAAGGGGGAAATCTACGTCATATTCAATAACATATTGCTCTTAATTTAGTAACCTTCATTGTAATATCATTAGACATTTACAGACTACATCAAACATCACAATGTTAAATTTCGTTAAAAAGGCATCATCTCGGACATACAAACTCACGAATTAATCGTTTCATTTTCAGCTACCTGTTGATACGTTTGGATTATTGCAGATAGGTTCGGGTTCTTACAGACAACAACATTCATGGTCTACACAGTGGACTGCCATCTTAGCTGTATTATCGCAAAACGAGGTTCCACAAACAGTCGGTACATGTAATATTAGGAATGATAAACTAACGGAACGCAATCATCAACACTACCCAAGACAGTTCATTACAGTTCCAGATCTATCAAAATAGATCATAAGAGTCAGATTAACACCAATGCATAAAGAATCGCTACCGAAATATAACCAATAAACCTATGACGGAATATAGCAACATAAAAAGTTATCACCCTTTTTGTCTAGTGTTAAACATAAGGCCGGGTCATACAAAAGTCCGTAAAAAGGAAGTTGTTATTCTGTGCTTAATGTTAAGCATTAAGAGTAATCGCGAAAGATGATTTATCCGTTGTCAGTATAATATTACCGGGTTGAATACTATGATTGGTGCCTTCGGCATGCTATTTAAGCAATGCAGCACTCTTAAAGTCGGCATCGGATCCACGCTATCGCATGGAGACAAATACAACGGCCTATCTGGCCTCGAGTACACATACACACATGCACCCATACATTGCACACATGAAGGCTCATACTTAAATGACGTAAGCTGTTAATAGCACGTTTAACAAGATAAACCGATATCTCACCTCATTGACTCTTTTATGCATGCCTTCAAATAGGACATTGATTTTAATATGTCATTCGTTAGAGGTTGTCCATCGGTCAGTCCATGTGCTCGTATCTCTTGGTATAGCTTTTCCTGTTTGTCTTGGTGAATTGCCAGTCTATTGAGGACCAAACTCATGGTTTTTGCCGTCTGCGGGATACAATTCACAACTCATTTTGTACTGTGATATATACGATTTATAAAACATCAATCGCAAATGTACTGACATTTTGAATTGGGATATTAACATTTGACAATACGTGCTCGTGCATGTTTCCCCTAATAAATCCTACAAAGCCTATCGAGTGGCTTTCCTCGTATAGCAATTGTAATCAAACATGCCGTGATCGATTGGCTTCGGACGAATATCCTTACCTCAGTAAAGACAAACACGTGCATGTATAGATATGAACGTTTCCATACACACCCATTTTAAACTGGAACCGTTGTCAGCGGGCTGTAACGTCAAAACATCAGCTGTGGCACAGACTTTGCTGGTGAAACTATTGAGGCCACACGTGAAACATATTTGCGCTTAGAATAGTCTGATTGAAATAATGAGATCATCTAAGTCACGTTGTTTTATAGACGCTACAGATACTTAGTAACTCAGTAATCTTCTTATAATTGTTGTTGTCATTAATGATAATATTGCAGAATACATAGTATTTAATTATATAAAAATGCAAATTAGTACAGCTCTGTACCCATTTGTTTATGTTATTTAACTTCAAATACTTAAATAGCGAGCGTAGTTAACAACTTCTGATTATTAGCTGAGTTAACACCTCAAAAACTGAGAATCAAGTATGGGGCTTCATCGTCCGTAGAGGAGAATTCAAAGTTAAATGACGCCTGTCTCTAAGTCTGTCAACTTACCGAATCTATACCACTGAGGAAAAGGTCGATGATGAATGAATTAATCTGCTCAACCGTCAACTTCCCTCCTGACAATAGGTTATGGACCAGACAATGGGTATCCTGTATGGCTCCTGGATCCCCCTCGGTCTGGTGGGTGTGGTACAGAGAGATACAGTCATCCACTTCCGGCTGTAGTATACTGCCCAATCATATAAACCGAAATTCTTTTTAACTACAACTTTACTGTAAACAATTTTTAAACTACATGAAGACGAATGCTTTTGATATTGTCTGGTAGTTATAATAATAAAATAATAATTCGGGGTTCTTATATACCGCTTTATCATAACCTAGTTCGTAGGTCGTCTCAAAGCGATTCAAATTATTATCCGTGGTGATAGGGCCTTTGCAACCAGCCAATAACTTTCTCATCTCCTTGGGGAACATACAGCCGGTGCTGCCATTTCGGCGCTTACAGCTAACATTCTACAATTCTAGCACTGCCCAACCACGTACTTATTTACAGCTGAATAGACTGGAACAAGCGGAGTAAAGTATCTTACTCAATGATACAACACAGTATCGATCACGAGCCCGGCGTTCTACCACTAGATTACCGTGTCTCTTTATTACTTATAAAGAGATCGACAATATTTCTTGGTATTTTAAAGTCTAGTTCTAAATGGGAAAAATGAAACTAAACATCTGACATTTACGTGTGATAAGGAACTGTTGCAACTTGCGATTTATACATGCTTAGGGACTGCTCAAACGAACGTTTAAGGGCTATCGAGGGACTGCTCAAACGGACGTTAAAGGGCTGCTGAGGGACTGCTCAAACGAACGTTTAAGGGCTGCTGAGGGTCTGCTCAAACGAACGTTAAAGGGCTGCTGAGGGACTACTCAAACGAACGTTTAAGGGCTATCGAGGGACTGCTCAAACGAACGTTAAAGGGCTGATTAGGAACTGCTCAAACAAAAGTTTAAGGGCTGTTGAGGGACTGCTCAAACTAACGTTAAAGGGCTGCTGTGGGACTGCTCAAACGAACGTTTAAGATCTGTTGAGGGACTGCTCAAACGAACGTTTAAGGGCTGCTGAGGGTCTGCTCAAACGAACGTTAAAGGGCTGTTGAGGGACTGCTCAAACGAACGTTTAATGTCTGTTGAGGGACTGCTCAAACGAACTTTAAGGTCTGTTGAGGGACTGCTCAAACGAACGTTTAATGTCTGTTGAGGGACTGCTCAAACGAACGTTAAAGGGCTGCTGAGGGACTGCTCAAACGAACGTTTAAGGTCTGTTGAGGGACTGCTCAAACGAACGTTTAATGTCTGTTGAGGGACTGCTCAAACGAACTTTAAGGTCTGTTGAGGGACTGCTCAAACGAACGTTTAATGTCTGTTGAGAGACTGCTCAAACGAACGTTAAAGGGCTGCTGAGGGACTGCTCAAACGAACGTTTAAGGGCTGTTGAGGGACTGCTCAAACGAACGTTTAATGTCTGTTGAGGGACTGCTCAAACGAACTTTAAGGTCTGTTGAAGGACTGCACAAACGAACGTTTAATGTCTGTTGAGAGACTGCTCAAACGAACGTTAAAGGGCTGCTGAGGGACTGCTCAAACGAACGTTTAAGGGCTGTTGAGAGACTGCTCAAACAAACGTTTAAGGTCAGTTGAGGGACTACTCAAACAAACGTTAAAGGGCTGGTGAGGGACTACTCAATCGAACGTTTAAGGGCTGTTGAGGGACTGCTCAAACGAACGTTTAATGTCTGTTGAGGGACTGCTCAAACGAACTTTAAGGTCTGTTGAGGGACTGCTCAAACGAACGTTTAATGTCTGTTGAGGGACTGCTCAAACGAACGTTAAAGGGCTGCTGAGGGACTGCTCAAACGAACGTTTAAGGGCTGTTGAGAGACTGCTCAAACGAACGTTTAATGTCTGTTGAGGGACTGCTCAAACGAACTTTAAGGTCTGCTGAGGGACTGCTCAAACAAACGTTTAATGTCTGTTGAGGGACTGCTCAAACGAACGTTAAAGGGCTGCTGAGGGACTGCTCAAACGAACGTTTAAGGGCTATCGAGGGACTGCTCAAACGAACGTTTAAGGGCTGTTGAGAGACTGCTCAAACGAACGTTTAAGGGCTGTTGAGGGACTGCTCAAACAAACATTTAAGGGCTGTTGAGGGACTGCTCAAACGAACGTTTAATGTCTGTTGAGGGACTGCTCAAACGAACGTTGAAGGGCTGCTGAGGGACTGCTCAAACGAACGTTTAAGGGCTATCGAGGGACTGCTCAAACGAACGTTAAAGGGCTGCTGAGGAACTGCTCAAAGAAAAGTTTAAGGGCTGCTGAGGGACTGCTCAAACTAACGTTAAAGGGCTGCTGAGGGACTGCTCAAACGAACGTTTAAGGTCTGCTGAGGGACTGCTCAAACGAACGTTTAAGGTCTGTTAAGGGACTGCTCAAACGAACGTTTAAGGTCTGTTGAGGGACTACTCAAACGAACGTTTAAGGGCTATCGAGGGACTGCTCAAACGAACGATTAAGGGCTATCGAGGGACTGCTCAAACGAACGTTTAAGGTCTGTTGAGGGACTGCTCAAACAAAAGTTTAAGGTCTGTTGAGGGACTACTCAAACAAACGTTAAAGGGCTGCTGAGGGACTACTCAAACGAACGTTTAAGGGCTGTTGAGGGACTGCTCAAACAAACATTTAAGGTCTGTTGAGGGACTGCTCAAACAAAAGTTTAAGGTCTGTTGAGGGACTACTCAAACAAACGTTAAAGGGCTGCTGAGGGACTGCTCAAACGAACGTTTAAGGGCTGTTGAGGGACTGCTCAAACGAACGTTTAAGGGCTGTTGAGGGACTGCTCAAACAAACGTTAAAGGTCTGTTGAGGGACTGCTCAAACGAACGTTTAAGGTCTGTTGAGGGACTGCACAAACGAACGTTTAAGGGCTGCTGAGGGACTACTCAAACAAACGTTTAAAGGCTGTTGAGGGACTACTCAAACGAACGTTTAAGGGCTATCGAGGGACTGCTCAAACGAACGTTTAAGGGCTATCGAGGGTCTGCTCAAACGAACTTTAAGGTATGTTGAGGGACTACTCAAACAAACGTTTAAGGTCTGTTGAGGGACTGCTCAAACGAACTTTAAGGTCTGTTGAGGGACTACTCAAACAAACGTTTAAGGTCTGTTGAGGGACTGCTCAAACAAACGTTTAAGAGCTATCGAGGGTCTGCTTAAACGAACGTTAAAGGGCTGCTGAGGGACTACTCAAACAAACGTTTAAGGGCTATCGAGGGACTGCTCAAGCGAACGTTTAAGGGCTGCTGAGGAACTGCTCAAACTAACCTTTGAAGGGCGTTGAACACTGCTGAAAACTATGTTTTAAGGAGTTGATGAACACCATAAAAATGTTACTTCTAAACGGACATTTGAGCGTGTGAGGAAGATGATTAAATCATATGATTTATTGGTGTTGGGAATTATTCAGACTTTCGTTAAATTGTGCTGAGAGACAGTTCAAACTTACCTCCTGAGGGTGTTTAGGGACTGTTCAAACTTGTTGTAAAATGGCGTCCTGAAGTATCTGTACCAGCGAAAGGATGAACGTATGTCAACCTCCAGAGCATGAAACACAAACACCACATTTCTGACAATGTCGTCTGCTGTCTTTCCGCCGTCTAGACAGCCTAGACGACTATTAAAAAACAGCATACCTATATCTGAAATTGTTATCAGTTAGACAGGAATAGTTATATAGACACATAGTTATTAGAAATGATCATTTGTTCGGTAGGTTTTTACATTCAGACATTCAGACATTTTCATCACATTTCTCGTTGAAGGATTTTAAGTTGATGATGTATTGGTATTGATGGAATATTGAATGAATGTTTTTTAGTTGGTAAATATCTACTGTTACCGGTATTAGGTAATCTTTTAACAATATATTGAACTCCAGCTGTTTCCCGTCCGAATAGTACATAGGTGTTATAACACCAGTACTCAAAAAAGGGGATAAATCTAAACGGATAATTTCAGAGGTATTAGCTTAGTCAGTTGTCTCGGTAAACTTTTCACGTCAGTATTGAACTCACGATTGATCAAATGGTCAGAAACATATGACGTAATAACCGATGCTCAATTTGGATTTCGACCCGGACCCACAATGGGGCATATTTTTGCTCTTAATTCAATTATCACTAAATCACTTAGTAACAATTAAACGTCTATATTGTTGTTTCGTTGATTTCCGAAAGGCTTTTGACTATGTTGATGGAATAAATTTATGGTACAAATTGTCCAAGCTAGGGGTGAGAGGCAAACTGTTAACTGTAATTAAGTTAATATATACTAAATTTATATCTTGTGTCAAGTTCAAAGGAAGTTTGTCGGACTTCTTTGACTAGCTATAGGGGTTTAATGCATTCGGAGATTTTATCGCCGATACTTTTTTCTATGTATTTTAACGACTTTGAATCGTTTTTTTTATCTTCTAATGTAAAAACCACTATGAATTTGAAGAACTGAGTCTGCTTTTAATGCTATATGCGGACGACTTAGTGCTATGCTCTGAATCTATTGAAGGATTGCAAGAATTACTCGATAATCTAGTAAACTATTCAAAGAATGGAATATGACTTTTAATACGGACAAAACAAACATTGTGGTGTTCCGTAAAGGCGGAAAAGTGAGAAATAATGAACTGTGGTAACGAAATGGTGAAGTTGTCTCAATAGTGAAAAACTTCACATATCTAGGTATTAAATTTTAGTTCAATAATAAATTTAGTTGCATGCAAAAACACTTACCAGCAAAGTATGGGGAGCCAGTAAATGCCTAGACATTGAAAAGGTGCATTTACATTTTGGTAAACAGATCCGGAAAGTAAAAGATTCTACTGGGAGTGAATAAACATTCTTATTAGGCAACACTACTGGCACATGCTTTAACTGGGTAAACCAAGTCAAGCGGTTACTAATCGAACTGGGTCTCGATGACAAGTGGTTGAGACAATGGACAATTAATTATAAAAATGTCTTAAAGCTTATACATCAAAGAATATTCGACCATGCACTGCAAGATTTAAGGGGTCTGTTAGAGTCGTCGTCTAAGTGCCTGTTATACAATCGTATTGTAAAATCATTTTTCGATTCAATATTATTTAAGCAAGTACACTCCGATGAAGTATATAATTTCTTTAACAAAATTACGCTTGTCTGTCCATACTTTAGCAAACGAGACAGGTAGACATAGAAATATAGACAGACACGATAGACTCTGCACGTTTTGTGATTTAAGCGAAATCAAAGATTAATATAACTTTATCTTGAAATATAATTTGATATAATAATTTAAGAAAACGCTTCATAAAACAATACTTCTGAAAAAAGCCATCGGTGTATAAACGTATACAGTTGTTGAGTGTTGAAAATACCAAAGAACTATGCATGTTAGGTAAATTTATATACGAGGCTAATAAACTTAGATTGAATTAATTTCATTAGTTTTATCAAATCTTGTATTTCTGTACAACATATCCAGGCTCGACTCGAGTGGTTTATCCGAGGAAACCTTCGTAGGTAGGGGTTGTCCCAATCACTTGGAATCCTTGGGTAGCCACTCGCGTCAGTGCTGGTATTTGCCGCATTCGTAATTCTATATTATCATATTATCATTTGGTATTTCTATATGAAATTAATTATGTACTGCATTGGAAAATCTATATTCGCGGTAAAAGAATAATTTGAATTTACCGTATACAATTATTTCAATTCAATCCAATGTTTATTTATTATAATAACGTTGACTTTAGTGGTATATTCATGGACACCTCGTCGGGGGGGGGGGGGGGGGGGTGAGGATTTATATACGAGGCTACGAGGCTAATACACTTAGATTGAATTAATTTCATTATTTTTATTAAATCTTGTATTTCTGTTCGACATATCCAGGGTCGTCTCGAGTGGTATATGCGGGAAAACCACTTGTATAATTACTACATACGTAACAGTTTGTATGTATATAATATGTATTATTGTATACGGCATTTACGTCAATATGTTTCTGAAGTAAAAAAAAAAAAAATGCATTTGAATTTACTGTATTCAATCCATTTAATATGTTGACCTGAGTGGTATACATATCCAAGGAAACTTTGTCGGTAGGGATTGGCCCAACCACTTTGAATCCCTGGGTAGCCACCCGCGTCGATTATTCATATTCCACGTATTCAAAATATGATATTTTCATGTAGTAGATATTCATTTTATAAGTCTGTGCCTGGAATATAACATCTCCACTATCAAATGTACATGTTCATATATGTTGTAAATGTATGGCTATCTCATCATCCTATATATGCAATGTTATTGTTAATAAATGTATTAAGTATGTGAACTTATTGGCCGTAAGGTCTAAAGTAATAAAAACAATTTGAATTTGAATATTTTTTATCATGCACTTTTTAAGGTGAAAAGTAGCATTAAACAAGCGATTGTATATCATTTAAAGTAAATAATGATTTTGTGATAAAATAAACACAGGACTATCTATAAAGGTAGCTTTCATTTTGAGTTTGCTTTTGTGCCTTAACAACTCCTCAAACTAACCAATTTATGTACAACATGTACCCTTTTATGATTGATGTTCTTTACTGAGTTGTTTATGAAATCTCGATGTAATATTAATTCAAGAAAACCTGAGGTACAGTCGAAAAGATAAAAATGTTTGAAGGGAAACTACTACATTTTCTACTTAGTACCTTCCTATAAGTGGCACAGATTGACTGTGAACTGTCTAAAATTACCTTATATTTTCAGGATGTTCGATTGGATGTTCTGAACTTAACATACGATAAACTTTACATCACATTATTGCTGGAATTGTTATTAAAATATAAAATGCATGTTATTTTGTGAAACTGATTAGATTGGCTTTCGTAACAGCACAATTTGGTTTTCCATAAAGTTTATATATGCTGTGCATATTATCGAAGGCGAAGCTATGCAATGTGGGGATTATATTTTATGTCGAGGTTGTGCGGCGTGAAACATACTTTCTATAGCGTAGTTATACAGTGTGAGGAGCGTGTCATCAATGGTATCCTGCTCCCTGAGTCTCGTCACCATATCGTCTGCTACCAAGTTGATTTTGGGAGAGTACGACGCCAAACTTGTGGGCCTGAGTATCTCGTGCTGGGTTGGTTTACGGATGGCCTCCCACCTCTCACCATTACTTCAAAGAAAGGAAAAAGGAAATGTCAATATAACATGTCATGATAAAACAATGTATCATTTAAGATGTCTACTTCTCGGTTATTTTATTCGAACTTGAAACCAATGAAATATTGATATGGGAACCGAATATTTTATTGTAATCGGCACACTGCCAAAACACAAGGAAGACAACTAAATTTGAAGTAAATACAAAAAGACAATAACATAAATAGGGGAGACACCAAAGCAAAATGAACAATGAGCCCCGACCAAACATGAGGTACTGGGGCATGTTAACTGCACACACTTTGATGTCTGCCGTCAAATACTGGAAATGTATGTGCAGCACTAGCAACGATCAACGATATAGTTTAACATTTGTAATCTTGATAGATGTTTGGTTTAGTATTGTTTAACGTCCTATCAGCAGCTATTGGCATTTAAGGACGGCCTCCCCTGTGTGCAAGATACATGTGTGGAGTGCATGCGTGTAGTGCATTCGTGTGTGTTTTGGGAGACTGCGATATGTTCGTGGTTGTCTACTTGTGATAGCGCCGACTTTATAGTGCTACCTCACTGAAACATAGTGCCGAATACACCCAGCAGAACAACCCACCCGGTCACATAATACTGGCAACGGGCGAATCATTCGTCCCACTCCTAAATTGCTGAGCGTTAAGCAGGAGTAGAAATTACAATTTTCACAGACTTTGGTATGTCTTGACCAGTGGTCAGAACCCAAAGCCTTCCTGACAAGGGCGAACGCTCAACTAAAGGCCAAAAGTGAGGCATTGTCAAGGGAGGTAATAGGAAGAAGGAAGTTAGAAAGAAGAGCAAAGATAAGTTACCAAATTTAGTCGCCTCTTACGATCATGCAATGGGGGCAGCAGGTAAAATTCTTACGCCCTACCTGCAGGGACTTTTGATAGAGACTTTAACAGAAACCAGGTAATGTTGGTGACCGTAAACACATCGTTATTGAAACCATTTGGGAAGAAAACCCTGGCAAAGTAGATCATTTTGGATTATCATGATTATAACACATTCAGCTTTCTCCTTATGAAAACGTTTCTGTCATAACTTACACGGTGCCCATGCCCTCCTCTATCCCCATCCGCTCGGCGTACTTCCGCAGGATCCACACAGGGAATCGGATGGGAAAGCGTGGCTGTGTTAGCTGAAGAGCCTCGCGGCAGAGGTCGGGATGGAATAATCCAACGATCCACTCGCCTCCCATCCGGAACCTTAATATGTCTCCATACTGCGTATGGAGCCTCTTCTGTAGTAGAGTGATATCCAGAGCGGGTATATCAGCTGTGGTGAAACCGTTATAACAAAGTGAGTAAAACTGAGTAGCAGACACCGGGTAATTCCCACTGACAAGAAACATGACAAAAATTAAGATTTCCAGAGGACATAACAATTAAAACCGTATTTTTACAACTAAAAGTACATTATCAATCTATTGAAAGTGATATTTTGCCATGCAGGGAAGATGATGGCCAAGTTTTATATTAGCTCCTGTTCCCATTGAGAAATATTGTGTTATCTTGCGCGATGTGGATATTGACATATATCAGTGTTCATTAGTGTACTATGTGGTTTCGTCGTCATAACCGTGGTTCTTAGTATTTTTGTGAAAATGACATTACTTGGATTTGACGGAAATTTGCATGACAACTTGCCGATAAGAACAGATTAGTGAGTGCTGAGGGAAAGAAAACTTTGTTCACAGAAATGATGACATTATCAGTAAAATACACACTTATCTCAGCACTGGATCTGCCGCAAAAATATGTATATAGGATTTCTTTAGGATTTAAAATGTTATCAACAAAACAATCATACATTACCCATTATCATTTATTGAAAAGTAATTTAATCTTGCTTGTAACAAGCATTTTCATTAGTTTTAAAATATATGTTATCAACCCATAACGTTAAAAAATGAGGTCGCCGTTTGTAACGTCGCTTTTGATTGGCTGATACAGCGGCGTGATAATTTCTAAGAGAAAAGAGTCCATCAATAAAAGTGGATTTCCAAAGGGATTGTGTATAGTAGATTGAATTGTAAGGATTGACTTGAATATGTTTTTATGTTATGGTGCTATAACACACAAAAAAACAGAGTGTACTCTCATCACTCCGGGTTTTTTTGTGTATAGCTCCATAACATGAAAAATATATTCAAGTTAGTCCTTAAATGAAGACCAGTCTCAGTGCATAGCGTGTCGGAAACAATTTACACTTGTCATTAGATTGTGTCGACCTTCAGTCAACTCGAGAAATTATCTATAATATTGTTACATGTCTTAAATCTCTTTTAGGAATATTAACTCTCAACAATTTTAGGTTATCTGAAAGCTGTTGGTCTTTTTAATAAAATATGAGTCACCATAGTCACCTTTAATATTCAAATGAACTTGTCTTTAACATTCAAGTTTGTTTGATGTTTTTATTTTGCATTTGTTTTTGTCGACCATTTGTTGGCCCTAATTGTCTATCCTGTGTTAATGCGCTGTTAAGCAAATAATAAAAATTCTAATGTGTTTTAACTTTAATATCACTTATATTTTATTTGTTGGAAGAATACTCCGATATTTTTCCCTCGTCAAAATATAATGATTTTATGTCATACGAGGTGTGTAATATATATGGTATTCATGGTAAAAAATAGTAATACCGTGTAATTTATGTGTTGCAAATGAATAAAAAAAAAAAAACAGAAGAAGCTTTCGACTAAACATAACCAGTATTGTATGTGGATCAGACATTAGCATTTATTAATAAGATTGGTAAGACAACTCTTGAATTATATTTTGATTTATTGTATAAAACGTGGATGTTTCATGCTCACTAACTAAGGTAGAAATTATCATCGGGCCTAGAGCACAAGAAATGATTAATGGTAAACTGAATCACCTTTCACAAAAGTATTTATCGGTATCACTTAAGTAATTGTCAAGTGCCTTTGTGTTGCCTATTTTCTACCTTCTTTATTGTTTTGTTATTTCATTACTGTTATATTTCAAACGTCATTTGTGTTTTATGAATATACACACTTACTGAACGGTTTAAAGTGGAACGTGGTTCCAATGTATGGCACCGAATATATGCCATTTGGGCCGGGGATGTTGTTGAATGGCTTGATGTTATTTATGTCTGGAGACCCACTGGTTTCCGATAAACATCGTATGCTGACGAAAGGACCGACCAACTGAGCTTCCGACCTCACAGCGACGCATCTAAACGACAATAGATAAAACAAAACTCACATCGACGTTACTGAACCACAATAGATACAATAAACTCACAGCGACGCATCTAAAACACATTTGAAAAAAACCCTCACAGCGCCGCATTTATAGCAAAAGCCCGAAGGTCTTCAAACTCACAGCAAACAATTTACATCGCAATAGACTTTAAAAAAATAACTCACAACGACACATCTGTAACACAACCGACAGTCACGTTCAACCTTTCATGGACATCTTCAACGCATATACAACACAGATTATAGACTAACACCAACATGTGAAATACAACAGGCGTTCAACCTTATATTAAAACCTACATCAGATTGGATGTACTAATTAAGCTTTACAACTACAACACAACATACGTACAATTATATATCAAACGAGGACAGCTCAACAGACAATATATTTACACAAACATGCCATACACAAGACATTACATGAAAAACAACAGAACAAACTTCAACTTTACATCTAAAACACAACAGATGTACAAGTTTACATCAACAACACAAGACGTTCGTACAATTTTACATCAAATATTTAAAACACAATACAGATACTACTTTAGATCTAACATCTTAAACAAACAGACGTACAACTTTATTCAACACATTTAAAAGAACACATGTTCCATACCTGATTACTGAAAGCATGGCATTGACCTCAGACGATTGTCACAGCTGTGATAAAAAAAAAAGACATGATCGAATTAGTGTCGGGTCATTTTCCTAATTAGCATAAGGACAGTATCGTATTATTATGGTAAATGACCCTTAACAAGCTATGGTTTATCATATATAAGAGTCATTTCATACATGTATTCCTCTGGACAACGAGAGTGCGAAGTAATTATCATACACGCGGTAGTGTAGCGGACATTGACGTGACTATAAGACACTGGTATAGAATTACATTACCTGTATCATTATTTATACTTCAGTATATACCATATGTATTTATACTGCTATCTAATGGTAGTCAACTTCAGGTAGGCTCTCTACAAGTAACAGTCCTATATCATCATATCTGTACTGAGGTTAGAATTTACTAACAAGACGTTGCTAGGTTATGACGTCATCTTTAAGGCTTTCCATTCTACGAATGAGCCAGATTTTCTTTTTTGTTCTTTTTTGTAAAATCGACTTTTGAATCGTTTTTAATAAAAGATATTCTTTGTAACAACAAAACACATTGCCATCTTACACGTGTAAACATTCTAATTTGAAAATAATCTTAAATGACATTCAAATTTCGTTCCAACACGCCACATTCCTAATTCGTTCTCACAAACATTATGTCTTATGTCATCTTTTCTGGTGTCACACAGCTAGATTATACTATATATGTATGTTAATTTATTAAAATTTAAAGCAGCCGCTAACTTTCACTCTTCTTTCTTACCAACAGGATAAAACTTTGACAAACTTGGCATACATCTTCTGCTATAACGATAGTTTTTGGTTAATGGAGACGTTAAGTCGATGAACATTACTTGTGAGTGCGTAAATATTACCTCTGACCATCTCGAACACAAATTCGCAATTCGTTTGATTCTGATTTCGTGACAACCCGTGAATTCCCTTATGCATGATAATAACGCATACAGTTGAACTTCGTTATCTCGAACTCTTTTAAATCGAAGACCCCGTTTATCTCGAAGCATTTTCTTCTTTATCTTTGTAAATAAAACTCTGATAATTCGAACCCTGAAAAGTCGAAAAACTCGGATACCTCGAAGTAAGATATTGGTTTCAATAGCGTAAATCTAACATCAAAACTTCGTCTACTTTATAGTTTCGAATTTCATTGTGTCACTTATTAATTCTTTGATACAAATAAAACGCAAAAGTACGACATATATTGCTTCAACCTTGTATCTGGTGAGATAAGTAGCAGTCGGGAAAAGACTTCCCACTCTTATACTTGACACAAATTTAGGCAAATGGAATTTAAATTCTTTGAAATCTCGTCAGGGAACAGCGTGGACAACGAGAAAGCAAAAAAGACAAAAAGAAAAATGTAAGCTCTCGGAAAGATCCTAAGTCAACATAGATGCAACTCCCAAAGTATCCGTCAGGATCTTTCAGACTATACATCACAAGCTTTCGGCATCATTCTAGTGTATTTATTAAGTTCAATGACACTTGACGCATGACTTACGATAGTCATCGTCAAATAAATGATAAAATCCACAGAAGTTTGTCGAGAACTCATAGTAAAAGCCTCCATTATGGTTTTGGGTTTGGCAATGCATCTCAGTGACTTTCCCCTCCTCGTCACTTGCTGATATTTTCATCACAGGGAGATTCCGTTCGATCATAATCTATCTGAGTAAGACATCAATTTGTCAAATACCTTGTACTCGTAAAAACAGTACCTTAACTTGTGTAGTGTGACGGTGTGGAATGCTGTGCTGTGTGCCTTCGGCATGGTATTTTAGTGAGATAGCATCAGATCCTCGCTATCACAAGAAGGCAATAACAACAACATACCTGCCTCCTGCATACACGCACGCAAGCGCGTACACACTACACACAAACAAAATTAAACCAAACCAAACCTTAACATGGAAATAATTGTTTTCCTCGCCAGCTGTTACAGAATCGAAAAATTGATAAACGACACAAAATATATCGAACAATTGAAACTAGATAGATAAAGATGTACTAAATAATGACATTGCAAACCTCCTCCGCCGAAATGAACTATAATTTTGGCATAATCAGTTCAAAATCAATATGCACGCACCCGTTTTAGGGTTTTTTCTGCGATGAACGGGATACATTATATGTTGTCATAAACCCCACAAATGGTACCAAGGTAGGCAATGGAGACATTTCCAGAAATCAAAATGTCAACATCAGTACACGGTACATTTTCGTCTCCGTTCCTCAATGCAAGCGATGAGTGATACGGGAAGGTGACATGGGACTAGCATTCTTGTCGGTCGTGACAAACAAGCACCTTCACAATCACAACGCTGCTGCCGTCAAGTCTGTCCCTCGGAGGACATAATATAAACTGTTTTGAAAGTAAAATTAGGACCTTGAGTAGTTGTGATGCCTTCATGTCACTTACTGGGTTTTCCCAAAACTATTCAACTTTAAAATGAAATTGAATTTTTTTTTTTTTTTTTTGTTCAACCTATATATTTTTATTACAGCTAACACATTTGCACGAATTTTTCTCTATGATCTACATATACCACATTCAGCATTATTCGTGAAACAGTTTTTTTTTCAAATATTTAGTAATTGGTAGATAATTTTAATCCTGTATTTAAACAATTGCCTGCTGGGTTTTTTGCTGTTGTGTTTATTTTTAGTAGATATATAGAATTACACACTATATACTGAAATTTAGAATTAGTTTTCCACTCATTTTTTTGTCAGTGTAATAATAAGATAATGGGATAAGCTTTTGGTGACATTTTAAACATCAAGCAGTGTACGACCAGAGTAAACATTATACTTTCGCCCTGTATACCCCGGGATAAATTATGAGGTGACTACACTAAGCATGTGACCCGGGGTGTTTTAATATCGCACCGTTTATGGTAGACTGTTGGTGTCGACAGCCGAGGATGGCATGTAATGTCAGAATTTGTAACTCGTATTACACCTTTTTTGTGCTGGTTTTTAAAATAATTGAACTGATTGTTTATCACAAATTTAAGTTAGCATTGTGCCATAAAAATATGATTAGCTGTCCATTTTGGCTTTCGATTTAGTTTTGTTTGGTTGTTGTATTCATGCATTTGAAACGGTTTTCAAGAATACATCATCAAGATATTTTCAAATAATTTTAAAAGAAAAATATTCGAACCAAATTTCAAGTTGAAATATATTTTCTATTCGCTATCATCTGCTAATGTTTTCTTACCTTAGTTGATTTCAGGAAAACGTCACTTTTTCTATATGCAACATTTATTTTGCTTTATCAAAGTGTTGGATATATTTTTTGTATGTGTCGTTGCAATGTATTTTTAATTCAAAATCGCTGTTCAATATTTTGATATGAGTTTTGTTGTGAGGTGTTTGTGGATTTGGCAAAGTCATTAAAAGGTCATTTTTTCTTATACATAAATAATTTTAGAATAAGTTCTACTGTCGATTGGAATGTTTATTTCAAAATACTGTTGGATTATGATAAAACCTATGGCAAATAATGGGAGATACCAGAACATACTACATTGGATTCATTGTAAGAGTGAAATCCATAGGGTACACTATTTAAAGACATACCGTTGCCTGAGGACAATGTTGATTCTGAAGAGCTTGAACAAGTTTTTGATCCGTCTAGAACATTCTCCTCTCACAAATGTTTCTGCAATAAAAACTTGTCACTTTTCCCAAACAAGATTACAATACCTCATACCAAGCAGGAAGAGCTCACACGTTCTCTTATTATAGTTAATTTTCCTTTTTACACCCATTTGGACAGCGATATAAGTATATTGTTAAAACAACACGCATTTTTTTAACATGTTTTATGAAAACCACGACAAAGACCAAGACGAAAAATGCTGAGCATGAAATCGTGAAATTACTGTTTTCCTGGTTTCCAAAGTTTTTATAAACTCGAGTTCCCTTGGGAAAATAAGGCTACATTTATCGTAGAGGTTATCCACGTCGATCGTAAATATACATTCCTTGACTTGAAATCGATTATATCAAATATAGCTGATGAAGTACTCTTCTAGAGTGTACTAATAAAATGTCTGACATATACAGTTGGGAATAAATATACAATTGAAACGACATTTCAAGGAAGATATCCTTCTTCAATAATGTTCATGTAAATAAATATTGTTATACTGTATGTAGCTATTAATCCAATACAGGTACACGCAGCATTTTGATAAATTGATAAAACATTATTACGTTGCCCATGTATATATTTATTACCGCTGATAACAGTTTTATGTATCTGCCTTAGATATCAGTATTATGTGTCATGAATGTTAAATATCCATAAATTGCAGAACAGGCAGTGTCTTCTAGGCCATTTATAGACTAGACAATAGTTGACATCAGTTTGCAATGCTTATGTCATCGTATTATTTTCAGACCTGAAGAGATGTGTTTAACATGGCGTGCAGACTTAAAATGTCGAGCAAAAATGACACGCTATGTTAAACACACCTCTTCATGTCGTACCAACCAGTTTCGCCTGAATCAAATAGCCAAATACATATTTATGATATGGTAAAATATATCTAAATAAATGACCCACATTCAGAAAATAATACGATAACATAAGCATAAGCATATGATATCTAAGGCAAATACATACAAATTTTATCAGCGGAAATAAATATACATGTGCAACGTGATAATGTTGCATCAATTTATCAAAATGCTGCATGTACATTGTACCTGTATTGGATATTATATCTACATACAGTATAACAGGCGCAAATTCAGGATTTTGTGATCCCCCTTGGATATACTATTGATGCGTGTTTTACATTGGTAGTTAAAAAAGAGATGATTGCCCTGATAATAAGAAAGTCTGATTAAATGTAAATGCATAGAAAGGAAACATGATTATTGCAATATTGAATAACACAGGGTTAGCAATAAAAGGTGTTATTATCTTGTTTTTAAAATTTGGAATAGAATTATAATTGTGATGTGAAATATTAAATTCTTTATTAAAAAAAATATGGAATGTTTTC